TGTAAGATATACTCTCAGAACTACACAAACACACGAAAGCTTCATAAAATAAAACATTTCTGTATTCAACTCTAGCCATCACTAGAGATGAAATAAAAATAATTACGACTCCCAGTTATTATATTATTTATGGTGCCACCGCAAACCACTTTATACATCAGATGCATCAAAATAAACCGCACATCAGGTCAGAATGCTTTTAGTGCGTGACTCGTATCGAATCTATGCGCATTATCTACGTGATGAGGTTAAGCAGAGTAACAAGTTTAATAATCAGCTTCAACCTTTATTATCATGAGATCCACACAGCGTTGCCGACACGCATCAAATGTGAGAACTTAGCCTTAATTCCAAGAGTTTTCCAGAGCAAATTAAAGCCGAGTTCTAATAAAGATCTGTTCGTTTCAACTTCTAAATATATCTCTCAGATTGCCTAAAGGCATCTCGTTATTTTATAAAGCGCGTTTTAATTGTTTAGACACGGATCTCTGGAGGTATCTAACGCGGTTCGGAAAGTCCAATGCCAGTTGAATTTTTTTCGTCTTATATTTTTTGTGATCTAATTTTGGTCACTAGTAGGGATGTACTTCGTGTTACATTTTTATTTTATTGGCCTTAGGTAAAATAGTACTTTTTAGTTTAAATTGAATTGTTACTTTAAATGCGAAGTGTTATAGTGTAAACCGTTTTTGACCAAAAAAAAGACCATTTGTTTCAAACAATCAGCAATTAGTAGCTATAAGTATTTTCACATTTCTTTTGACAAAGATATTTGGGGCCCTTAAAAATACAGTAAATCAAAGTTATATTATACTTCTCAAGGTAGTTTTATATGGTTCTTTTAAAATATCTGGTAACAGTCGACAGCCCTATCCATACAATATGACGTGTTATCGACGCCGGCGGACGCAATTGGTTAGAAGTAAACAAAATAAAAGCAAAACCACTGATAACAGTTCCATCTAACTGTCCGATTTGATTGGGGATCTCACTTTAGAGTACAAATAAATTGTTTTACTGTGTTTTTGAAGCCTTCGGGGAATTTTTGCAGATTTTTTGTTAGTTAAATAGAATGAACATTGCGAAGTTTTTATGATCGAGTCTTCAATGAACTATTTGTTTTTTTTTTTGTTGTTATGATCGTTGGTTTAAGCGAAAGTGCATTTGTAGAGGTCAGTTTTATAGGTTATGAGCTCTTGCAATGTAAAATATTTAAACAGCTTTATATATTTTTTTCTGTATAGGTACGTTTCATAGATATTTGGAACTAACTGTTTCTACTGCAAATAGTTAATTGATGACATTTGAGTAAGTCTTAGTTTTGAAAAGACCTAGGTATGGGAAATATCCAAGACATTCAAATAATACTTTCTTATCTCTAGTTACTACCGGTAAAAAATTTTTAAAGAAAAAACCCCAGTATTAATAAAAATATACATCCTTATAAGATTACCATCTATTTTGGGGAAGTCCGTGCAATTATGACCACATAATTACATTTTTATTCATGTTCGATACATTTAGAAAGTGCTTACTTAGCGCATAATTAATCTGCCAATAACATTTTAGTAACGTTTGGTGATAAAACCACGACCATTAGTCGTTGGCACCTATTTACATTTAACTTGTATTTATGGAGAGTTCAACTTAAATTGATGTATTTTCATGGTGCATTGAAGTTTACCATAGCTGTGATTACAAAGTAATAATCAAAATCATTTATTTCAATTAGACCTAGGTATTTTTGAGGGTCAAAACAAAATATTTAAATATTAAATAATAAGAAAAAATGTCAGTCTGTGGTCAGTCCTCTAGTAGTCTTCGCATCAACCACTTCATTCTTCGCATCAACCACTTCATTTCTCTGCACTTCCCTATGGTTGACTGTAAGAGAATGCCTTAAGGCATTAAGTGCGCCATTCACTGATGTATTTTGTGAAGAAGAAGAAATAAATAAATAAATAAATAAATAAAGCTATTTGCTCGTTCCAAAGTGTAGATTCATATGGAGAAGAACGAGCAAGAAACTCCACTCTTTGTCAATTATTTTTAAACGTGGCTTTGAAGTTCTGTTAGAAGTAAGGGAATGAAGAACTAGAATAGTAGATTAAATTTGCCTGTATAAAAGTGCGAACGAAGTTATTAATGAGTAAGTAACAGAACTTATTAAGGTAAATATAGAAACAAAAAGACATTGTGACATCTCCAAATTCATAACATTAACGGAATTTAAATTACAATGGTGTTTAGACATTTATTGACATTTATTTCGTACTATTCACTAGACATTATGTATAACCTAATTAGAGATATCTCGAAAAGATTAACTATAGACTTTTCACAAAGAGGTTACAAGATTAGTATTATAAGAGTTGTTCATGGAAATTAAATCTTTCTAACACAAATCATTCATCATCTTTAGTCACATTCAGTACCGTCTTTTTTATATAAGATGGGACTGACGTTTGACCACTATCTCGCCTTGTCTTTACCATAATGGCACTCAGGGTCCGTGCTCAGGGCACCCATCCTTAGGGGGCCCCGAAGGACCGACAATTTCACACACGTTCGACGTACGACAGACGGGTTCGATTATGCGGAGCAAATCTTTGTGAGCGCCACAAACTGTTGTTTCGGGTCTTGGTTAAAAAAAAAACCATTTAAAGAAAGGCCCCAGCGTAGTCTAAGACTGCCCTGGTAAAATTGATGAATACGTTTTAATTAGGATTAAAATAGCAAAACGATAGATAGAAGATATTAATGATCATTTTGTTTGTAACATATATTCATATATTTAAGCAAGCTATGATTACCATTTAACAATTAACGCTATACGGTCTATAATTACATGACCTTGATATTTAACGTGCTCGAGTTTTTATCTAACCATTACTGATTAATTTAGACATATAAATGATATAAGTTATGACAGAGGGTGTTTCGAAATTCCTACTTCTCATTATTAGGACATAGCCTCGAGTATATGAAACCTGGAAATGTATACGATGTATGGAAATGGGTAGTGAGTATAGGAAATATATATTAAAAAATGTGCATCTTTGTCTAGTTCTTCCAGATATAAGCGGTTTAACTAAAAATTACTTTTTACTTACGTGTGTATACTGATACAAACAATTCTAGTTTCAAGTAACAGAAAACAAAGAGGTACTCTTCCTCATGAGCAGCGTGCTGTAGCGGATAAATGTGTTTATAATTTGCAGTTCAATATAATTATATTTTTATCATTATAATGAGAGACTCTGAAACTGGTTATTAAATTTTTAATGGGTGACAAACACAACAGTCACTCTGTTGACTGCAAGCAAATGCATTCATATGTCCCAGTTAAAAGCTTTTTGTTACAAAAATCTAGAAAAGTACGAATACCATATTAAGTTTGTTAACTTATTTCTTATTGTAAAAATCCTCGAATTTTACAGCGGCTTGGCATTTGGAGTTTCTGTCGAACATGCAGAGTATTTTGCGCCAGTAATGTAAAAAGTGAATTTTATACTTATGTATGAACATTTTACAGCGACTCGCTCTCGACATGCATCGAGAAGATGTACCTCCAGGCATTATATGCATGTAGGCAGGGGCGGACTTCGGTAAGCAGAATATGCAAAGACGTTTCGTTAAAGAAGAATTCATAAATTTAAGAAAATAGTTCCTAATGAGTAGGTGAAAACTATTGTTTAAAAAATAATTAGTGCATAATTAAACATGTAGTTCGTTGGAATCTGAGTACTGCAAAAAATCTTTGAAAATAATTGAGCAATTTAGTATCTACTACTTAAAACGAAAATACTTATTCATTATTATTTTAGCTTGTTTAACGGATTCAGAATAAGTATACATAATACCAACGCTAGCTACCCTAAATAACAAACACTTATTTTCAATTAACTGTAATTTCTAGAAATGCCTAAAAGAAATAAAACTCATTTATATTAATTGCGATGTAGAGGCAGCTGTAATTAGTTATTTAATATCAGTAGCGAACTGAGCCTAAAGCTAATGGGTATTAAGGTTATATTACTATCACGTATTTATTTTGTTTGTATTCGTATTTTTGGCTAGAAAAGAAAAATCTGTGTCACAAAACACAAAGTATCTTAATGATTACGAATATAGTATTTCCAAAGTCTGGTATTGCCTCGTATTTTTTTTCTATAAGACGTTTTAAATTTATTTTTCTATCTTGCAGATATTCGCTAATGCTATACGATTTGTTTGAAAATATTTTCTTGCGCAAATATGGTGAAACTAACACAAACAGATGTAAAGAAAACAGAAATCCAGAAAGATTTTATATTTCTTTGCTAACCATGCTACAGGTGCTTAAAATAAAAATATTTTACGACAACACGCCGTCTGTTTATTTTGCGTTGACGCGTAACACCGTCGCATCGCATCGGCTTGCCTTAATCCGGCCCTGTTAACATCCATATTTTTCGCGAATATTCCTTTACAGGCACCCCAGTATCTCCCAAGGGCTTTAAATGTTGTTTTTTTTATTTAAAACAAGACCTTACTTCGCCTCCAAACGAGATGTTTTTCTTATGCAAATTGTGAGAGGCGTGAATTAAATACTTCTATCAAGATGTTCCCCTTATCTATGTTGGATACCTTTGGAACTTTTGAAAGTGTTAAAGATACCGAGTTTCCAGTTTCTATATTTAGAAGTTGTTAGCTGTATATAATCCTGTAATACTTTTAACTTCGAACTTTATTGTTTACCTCATCAAAGATATCTTTAACAAAATTTGAAGTTTGGACACTTTGTTTTTCATTGTTTTAACTATTGTTACTACCTTTTGTTAGAAATTATATGTTTTAATTGTTGCAAATTATTGTTAAACAGTTGTTTTTATCAATCGGGTATCTATTCCAACTTTTATATAGGTATACATACATATAAATAATGATAACAGCTGCTAATTACACATTTCTTTTGAAATTATGTTGTCTAATTTATTTTTACTATTCTTTGTTCTCAGGAGGTCTATTATCCCTCGGCAAAGTCCTCAACTTCTTCCCGGTGGGAGGAGAGCGGGAGTGCCAGCCGGAGGGCCACAATATTGCGAAGGCAGGAATCTGCATCAACCAATACGACTGTCGACAGAGGGACGGCAGAGCTTCAGGGGATTGTGCGGACGGGCTCGGCGTGTGCTGTGTTTGTGAGTAAAATACATAATTATTATTACATTGACTAGACTGAGGCGTTAATAAGCAAAAAAGTTTCAATGTTTTTGCTGCCATTTTTCTGACATAAGTTCCTCTGATTAACTTTAACGTCTGTATCATTGATTAATGATTATGTCGGATTAAAGACGTTCCTTTTAAAAATAGAGGAATCTCACTTTTCTGAAAAAATATATTTAAAAAGTTGTAAGTATAAAAGTTTCTATTTCCTTATATTTTCTTCACTTCAACTAAAATCTCAAATTCCAATGAACCGTAGGTAATAAAACTGAAGTTTCAACGTTTGTCTGACTGACAAGAAAATCTGCTACTGAAAATGAATAAGTACGAACTAACAAGATATCTGACTCCCAAATAATGCGAGATCTTGCATAACAAGCAATTAGCTCGTCTTGGAACATTTTCTCTATATTTCCTGTGTACCTATTGTTACTTCTAGGAACTAATTACTTATTTGCAAGAATAAATATATTTATACGTAATCTCTCTGTTAATGTTAATAACGTATATTATTAATACATCTGGTACCTACTGCTAACTTCTGCTTCCTCTAACACAAAGAAAATATTGTGTCCTAAGAAAGTATTATACTATATTGTTTATTGTGATTTTCAATTTTTTATTTAGGTGTGTGACATAGAATAGATAACTGTGATTTTTGTTTTCAAATAATAAGCTGTTAGTATTCTTTTTTGAGTCTAATCGATCACCTGATGGTAAGCAATCTGCATCGCCCACACCTAAAATACCAGACGCGTTACAAGTGCGTTACCAGTCTTTGGGAAGTTAGGAATTTGAGGAATATTGGGGATGCAGGGATTGGAGTGATTGTGGGGGGGGGGTATTGTGGGCACCTCACTCATACGATGAGAAACAGAATACAAGGGTTATTTCATGACAGTTTTTTTTACACTTAAACAATTGAACAATTGATAAAGAGAATAAGTATGCAGTTTAGGACACTGCTATTACATCACATCACATCATGCATCTACGACATCTACACTTTACTATCTATTCAAGACTCATGAATATAAAAAAAAAATCCTTTATAAAAACTTTCTATATAACTATAAAACCAGTACCCACACAGTAAGGTAACTAAACATATAAACGAATGTTTCATGTCAATTCCTAGTTCCTCAAGTCTGACTTCTAACAGCCACTTACCATAAAAGATAGGGAATGGCAGACAACGATTGAGTTTCCTCCACTATGTTCGGTTTCATTGAAACATCTAGTGTTCTACTTTATTGTTTTGACATAAAGTCGAAATTAGAATGAAAAAATTTACAGATTGGAGTAGATTGACCTGCTATTGTCTGTAGGGTTGCCACCTTTTTCTTTCGTATGTAAAGTACATTGACGATTATAGATAAGAAAAAAAAGTACACAGTACAAAAATAAAGTACAATTTATTCTTATTTAGTATTATATTTAAAAATATATTCTTTATTGCTTTTTGCAGTTTGTATTAAATTAGTACCTTTACTAAACAATTGCATTGAAATACTAAACAATTGCATCTTTACTAGAAATTGTCTAAGTGGCGCTGGCGAATTATCGATTCAACATAAATCGATAAATATCAATATCGAATCGATAAGTTTACCGAAAAATACTTACGACTTTAATAGAAATGAAGTTAGCAAAAATAAAGTATTTTCGTGTACTTTATTCTTCTTATAAAGTATAGAGTACAATTACCTTAAATAATGTACAATACTTTATTATAAAGTACGGGTGGCAACCCTAATTGTCTGTAACTATACCTCTATATGTATATAGTAACGACTGTCTTGAGACTGAAATGGTTATGAAGATCGCTTGGGTGCTGTCTGGCTTTAATATCTGTTGTTATCATGATGTTGTTAAATGAATTTTGAATAACATAACTATTAAACGGATATGTCGTCAGGTTCCTTAATTTTGAATTTCTCAATAGTTCACTACATATCGCATGGAAGTGCTGTCATTGGTTTTATTTTACAATTCCTATATATTTGTCTACTATTTTAGAATAGTGTAAAGGAAATCTAATTTGGTAATCAAATAGTACAGATAAAATAAGTAACTTTAAAGTTAAGACGATAATCTAATATTCCTGTCTTTAAACTGTCAAACACCGCGAGTACACCGGTGTCTATAATGACGGTACCCAAAGGATTCATTTATACAGACATCATTTACCTACGTAAAGTCAAACACGAGCTTTAAAGACAAAATATTATGAAGAAGCAACCACACAGCACTGAATAGAAAGCTCAACCTGAGAAAATTTAGCAAAAGCAATATATCAAAATCTCTTTTAATTTACAAGTGATGGCTAATTTCGTACAGTTTGCAGTCTGTTGTCAGATTTTACGACTAAGACTAGCTTTCACGCGCAGAACATAATATTATCGACATGCATAAGCTGTGGTTTACGACACATTGTTTACAAAACTACTTAGAATTTCTATGCTAAATTACACTAAGACTTATTTCTAAAATATTGTTCAGGTTTGAGATGAAACTGTGAAGAAAATAATGAAATTAACTTTACAGAAGGAACCGATTAATAAATGTAACGATACTTGATTTTTCACTCAACTTTGGACACAATCAATTACTAATTCCGTGTTATAAATGAGAATTTAAAAGACCTAAAATTTCAGTTCTAGTTTGCTCAAACCGCGATAGCATTAGCGTCTTGTGTGCGTTAAGTAAGATTTTAAAGTCAAACGTTTTTTGAAACGTCAACAAATACAAAATAAATAATAGTCTGTCAGTCAGTCCGTCAGTGAAGCTAGGTGAAGCTAGGTGCTCATTCCAAAATGTAGATTCGAATGGAGAAGAACGAGCAAGAAACTCTACTCGTTACTCTTTTTAAAAAAGTATGTTCTACAATTTCCTAATTCGAAGTAAACTTTCACGACTCGATTGATATAACTACTAGGTAGCAACAACGTTAATTTCCTTTATCTTACTTCAGTGGTCGTTTCTTGATAACCATTAATATTAAATTGTCTACAAAACTTTTATGTACACAGAAAAGATAGTAATATCGTACTCAAATATAATTAAGAAAATAATCTGCGGTATCTTATTCGAGGAAATATTGTGAAAGCACACAATTATACATATTGGAAACAAAGAAAAGTTGGTAATATTAACTGGATTATTGGATTCTGAAGGTAAAACCTTTTCTTCGGTTTTGTTATAGTCTTATAATCTCTATATTATTAGTTATTAACGTTAACTTGTTGTCTTGTAGAATAGTATATTTTAAGATTTGTCGTTTGCAAAATTATGTGCATCTGTCTGTATTTAGCATAACTCTTTGACAATTTTGGAGTTCCGATTACAACGGGGACAACTTTTGCGGGGACAACGGGGAGCAATTTCAAATTCCGTGTTATTTATGAGAATTTGGAAATTGAAAAAACCACACTGTCCAGCTATCACCATTTGTGCCATAGTGAGTTTTTGCCATAACATACGAGTTACAAATTTTCGGTTTTACCACTGAAATTGCACAGTCGAAAAAGCCAATAACACTCTGTCCGCAACTAGTTGTAAGCGTGGAAATGTCTCGTAGAGTATATATGTAGATCTTCCTAATAGTACATTACTTATTTCAATCTCTAGCTCTTCGCTTCCAGTCGTTGGTAAATCACGTCTTGTAATTGTAGGTAATGTTTCCAAGACCTTTCAGATAGATTTTAAAGTTACATACAACCAGTTCGTAGCTACTCAATATGTATACACAATATACTCCCTCTAAACCCGTTATCGAACAATCCAGCAGCCAGTCTAAGTGTAGTGGTTCAAAATGGTTTCAGAAATGTCCCCAGAGTCCGGACATTGGCGTGCCGAATGTACCGTGTTATGTGTGGCTGGAACTAAGTGCTGTTCCCAAGTGTTAGGAGTCTGCCGCTGCCTGATGTTGTGTAGTTATGCGGAATATGGGAAAGCTTTTGCAGATTAGAGGGGAGTTGCTTAGGTGGAGTGGTTCTGTTTGTGTGGGAAAATGAAATAATAATAAGTGATAGGATTTTGTGTATTATTCTTATTAGCAATTCAAGTGATTTTTAAATAGATCTAGAGATATATTAGGTGATGCAAAGTGTTTTTTGGTGGCATTGAATTATTGATTGATTTTGAGGAGGGAGCGGGGACTTAACGGACATGAACTCAGTCTGTGTGCTAACAAAGCTACATCTAATTTAAATCTGAACCTAACCTAACCTGATACCTTTACAGATTTCGGGGTTGTTGCATTTCCAATGGTCACCAATAAAACTACCAAATATAATATCAACTCTCTATGACGTCTTTTTCTTTAACCTTACGCGATAACTGACCTTTTTCTTATTATTCTCTAATATTAAACCCATTTTAAAAGACAATACCTACATAACAATGCCTCACAATGGTCTCACATCCACATATCAAGTACATTTTCATTTTCCACTTTTATACAGAAATAACTTTAAAGTAAACCGCTCTAATATAGTGCTGGGGAAGTTAACGTCAGACTTTGGACACTAATAGCTTATGTCAGCTTGAATTTATGCCAGTTATAAGAGACCGTAATAGCCTGGACTATGGAAACTCAGAAGTTTTATTCTATACGAGTATCGGATGGTACGTTAAATACTTAGTGATGAAGTACCACGATGCATACAGATTTTTAGAGTAGGTACAATGCGTATCTGTGATTACTTTAACGGTCTAGAGGTCGTAAGTGCAACTATCAAACTGTTCCTGGCTATGTACAAAAATAGGAATTTTCAATTTCAATGATCCCAATCTTGCCTTGAAATTCACTATATAGGCTGGCCACGCACATGGATATACGAGTAGGAGAAGGAGGATATAGAAACAAAAAGAAAAGTAACATCAAACAATATTAACTCATATACACAGGTTTGTAAAAACCTCAGTAGCAGTACGGAGTCTGGAATTGTGCCCGGTATATGGTAATAGGCTC